GCCTTTTTGTCTTCACATCAAGTGACTTTTCTTAGAAGTAGACGACACAGAAAAATCCTTTTTGTCTGTGTAAGTGTGTCTAGCACAAATAAGGAAAGAGACGTTGAGTAACTCCAACGGATATATTCTTGAAAATTACTTCTTCAGTTTTCAGCAAGTTCTTCAGAGTCTGAATGGATCAGAGTCTTTTAATGAGATTCAGAACTATGCTGTATCAGAGTCTTCTGCAGCAGGTGTGCTTTCAGCGTGTTGATCATCAGAGCATTTTTGACACAGAACTTCAGTACTTGGCAGCGTTGGTACTTTCAGAAACTTCTGTAGACTAATGCTTTGAGAAACTCTTCAATCAATATTCTTCTATGCTTCAGATGCTTCAACTTCAGATGCTTCTGTTTATCTTCAGATGCTTCTGACTATCTTCAGATGCTTCTGACTCAGAATGTTCTGGAGCTTCTTGCTTCAGATCCTTCTGGAGACTACGCTCAGGATCTTCTGTAAGGAGCAATCAGATTCTTCTGCAAGGTGCATCTGGCGCTTCAGAGTCAGAATAACTTCTTGTATTCAAGACAGATTTGCTTCTAGAGAGTTAATATTATTTCAATCTGCAGTAAAACTCTCAAACAAATTTTAGAGTATATAATTCTTAAATATAAATTTCCTAACAGTTATCATGAAAACAAAGAGTTATTATTAAGAACCAATCTGTGTTCTAACAGAAAGAAGTAGGGCAAATTTCGTGGTAGGACACCCGTCTCCTGAGTGATGACTGTCACCCAGCCCATCATTCCTCTCCTTCATCACTCGTCATCCTTGTGACGACCGGTAGGAGAAATCCCGCTTGGAGACCACGATTTTCTCCCCGTCACCCTGCTGGTGACAGTTAGCCATCCTAATGCATAACAGGCATCCTGTCGCGTTGTTGCAGAATGCAGTTTCTGCGCTTTAGCCATGAGAGTTCATTCGAAGCTCCGATTTTAAGCTCCAACACCCCATATCACACATAAAATAATATATACATATTATACAACAATCAAAACATCACATACACATAAATTATAATTCCATTTCATCGGTTAATTAAAATTTCAAGGTTATGCCCATAACACCAAATATGCAACAATGACATTCATAATATTCAAATTCATATCCATCCATCATACATGATTTCCAATAATATACAAAACACAAAATTATACATTAAATATGACAATTAGCATGGATTTCACACAATTATCATCAAAACTCATAAAGCACACCAATGGTGAAGAAAACCTAGAGGAGGGTGAGGATCCCTCTCTACCCTTCAAGCAATACACCTATATTCAAGTAGTACCCCTCCCCCTTACCTGAAATTCCAACAGCAAAACAATCAAACTCTTTGGCTATGGTGATCTCCCCCTTCAAGAGTTTCCTAGGTTTGCCTCTTTCTCTCAATTCTCAAACTTCTACGTATCAACTCCTTTTTCTTCCCTCACATATTATATTTATTTTAACCTAAAATTCTATTTAAGTTAATTATTGTACTTTCACCCTTCAGCTCTTCTGAACTCTTTCCTCACCACTCAAACGTTACCACAACTCTATTTTCTACCCCCAATCTCACTATTCTACTATTTTTCTTATATTATTATTATTATTATTAAATTATTATTCTATTATTATAATCAAATAAACTACAATAAATTCCATTCACCCCAACAAATGCCAAATAATCACATAACACATGTTATCACCAATAAATTAATTTAAAAACATTTTATGTCACTTAAGTAATTAAATACAAACAAAACAATTTCAACCAAATAAATTAATTGAATTTGAGGTGTTATATTCCCCAACGAGCTGCGAAACTGCTTTATGGCAGCTACAAAGTGATGTCTACTATTGGTGTGGAAACCTTAATGCTTGCCTTTTAATAAGGAAAGAGGCGCCTTGTTGTGTCGAAGTATTTGATATGCTATTTGAACTTTTCTGGCAACAGTCTTTTTGAATTGAGGCTTAACACATTAAATTATGCTAGCTATAGGCATGACAACATAACCCATACCCACGGGTACCCACCCGAACCTGCCCTGAAGTTGACAAAGAAAACCCGCTTTGACTAGGTTTGGGTTTTCCCCGATTAAAAAATATGGGGATGGGTTGGGTAATGGGGGAACTAGTACCCACCCCGAACCCGCCCCCAAATCTGCCCGTTTATTTTATTATGTATATTATTATTTAGTTTTGTTAATTTGGAATATTAAATATGTGACCAATTGTTTTGATATTTTGATTTGTATTAATTAATTAATTTTTTGAAATGTATGTATAAAATTTTTTGAGATTGTTTTATTTTATTATTTGTAATTAATTTGATTTTAGAAAAAATAAATAATTCTATAAAAAACTGATTTTACTAAATGGGTGGTGGCGAGACGGGGATACCCGAATCCAACCCGAACCCGTTTAGGATAAGTTTGAGTTTTAATTCTCCATCCTCGTTTGGGTTTGGGGCGGGGAACGGGGACTGTTTGGGGATTCGGGTTTGGATTTGGGGGAGGTAAAAATTGTCCTGACCCGCCTCGTTGCCACGCCTATCTAGCTATCATTTTGGTTGTTGTGTTAGTCCGCTGTAATTAGATTCCATTAATTTAGTGGATATATTTTTTCCCCATGGTAGGGTATGGTTCTGAAAAGATATATATACATCTTTGTGTTATGCTCCGTGTCACAGAGGACTATTTCCCGGTGAAAGGGTAGGATCACAATCCCTGCTCCCAAGGCTTAGCTTAGATCGAGGTGGATGTATCTGGGCTCCACTTTCTAACACCCTTGGACTAGCTAGATTTGAAGGGGGCGCCAGTTACGCAAAAGTGAATTTTATCTATGGTAGTCTTTATCAGATACACATAAATTTGTGCAGTCTTTATCATCCATGACTTTATCATTCTAAAAGAGAGATAGACAAGAAAGCATACAGTAATGGCAGAAAATAAAATATAGTCAAATACTTGTATTTATAACGAAGTGAATTTGTTACAGTGAAACAATGGAATGATTAGATAAATAGACCTTCAACTGTAAAACCACTTCAGCTTGGAAAAGTTCCCAGTATTTGGTATATGTCCTCCTTTGGAGATTCCTTGAAGTATGCTCCTCTTTCTTACAATATCTCCTTCAATAAGATGGGGCACTAGTGTATCCAACCTAATGTTTGTCTGAAGCGGTATTCCTAGATGGTCGACTTTGTCGAGGACGTAGCTTGAGAACGACCACTGAAATCTTAAGGCCCTAGAGTTATCTTTTTCAAATATTCCAGCATGTCACCTTATGACCCCTAGGATGACAACATTCTTTCCCCTCTTACTTTGGTGCGGATATCCACCCTAACCAGTCGAGACATGACTGAAAGTATGCTTATAGGAAAAATGGGCTTATGGTCGGATTCCTCTGAAGCCAAGAGCATGGTTGAACAAAGGGGACGTTCCTTGAGAGACCCGTCTCCCTGAACTTTACGGAATAAGCTTGGCCCACTCCTTTCATCTAGTAATTTCTCTATGAAGCAACAATGTTTGGCGAAGGATCATAGCTAACTTCCAATTAGAGCTATCTTTAGGGGAGACTTAGTTTCCTTGCTACCAAAGTTCAGGGTGTCACTTAGCACTAAAACGATCCATTACGATGGTGCATGATGGATCTTCATGATTAGCACTAAAACAATCCATGTTTTAACAATGTTTAAAAAATAACATAAGTTTAAGAAAACAAAAATTTACCCTAAAGTGTGGACATTTCTAGAATTGTTTTCTAAAATTTATAATATTGGAGTGTCTTTGAAGCACAACAAAATTCTCACGCCAACAATTAAGTGTTCATCGCGGTTTGGAGGTGGAATAACCATTTGAATTGGAACTAGAACACCTATCTCCACCATTGACAACTATTTTTGAAGGGGGAAAAGAAGATGCATGACACAATGTTTTTGTCAGATTTCGAAAGGATGGAAAAAAGATTTTTCAATATATCCTAATTTTGAAAATGAAATTTCCTGAAATAATAAACAGAAATACGAATAGGCATGACAACGGGGCGGGTCGAGGACGGTTTTTACCTTCCCCAAATTCAAACCTGAATCCCCAAACAATCTTCGTTTCCCGCCCCAAACTCAAATGGGGATGGATAATTAAAACCCAAACCCGTCCCAAACGGGTTCAGATTGGGTTCGGGTATCCCTGCCCCAACACTATCAATTTAGTAAAAAATGTCAAACATATATATAAAAATAGACTTAAAAAAATGACTTATAAGTCTGTGAAGCAAACGAGCTGAACCTAACGAGTCGAACCAAGTTGCTCGTGAACTTATAACAAGTCGAGTTTGAGCTTAAAAAAAAGTTCGTATCGAACTCGAACAGAGATTTGAGTTAAACCAATTCTTCACGAGTCGAGCTGAGCTGAGGCGAGTTCGACTCGATTCGACTCATTTCTAGCCCTAACGGAGTGAGCTTAGGGCAAATTCGGGATGGGGGTACTAGTGTTCTTATTATCCGACCACTACCCCATATTTTTTAGTCAGAAAAAACTCAAACTCAGTTAAAACGAATTTTTTCAGTCAACTTCGAGGCTGGTTCAGACGAATACCCACAAATATAAGTTATATTGCAATACCCAAATAGGAAGAATGTGACTTAAAATTTTCTAGAACGTGGTGTATTTTATATGGTTAAGATACCAATATTATTATCTTTTTAGTTAAGGACTAATAGAAACCTCGAAATAAATATAAAGATAAAACTATAGTTTAACCTCTATAGTTAAAAAATATATAGTTGTAGTTGATAATGAATTTGGTAGGAAGAATTACGGTATAATCCACAATTCACAACTGCAATTGGGAAGAGATTAGACTCACTATTCCACACGCATTTAAGCAACTATTATTTCTGTTACATTTGAATTAAGATCAAACAATTTAGATATTACAATCTACATTACACTTTTCTAAAATCAAAATATTACTCAGAACCTTAAAGATCTACTAAACGCCTTCCAAGAGAGTGGATTCTGAAACTCAACATCTTTTCTTGCTCCATTTTTTCTACCAAGAAAAGGTTTCAACAATTTCTTAACCACCTTTCGAAAACCGGAACCGCGACACCTTCGTCCTTGCTTCACCTGATTCACAAGAGGAATTGTTGTTGGAGCAACACTAACAAGTCTTGGTTGTTGAGACACTGACCTTAGATATCTTGGCTCTGATAAACTTCTTTGTAACATTGCTTTGTTGAGTTGTGTCTCAAAAGATAGCCTCTCAAATTGGTCTAAGAGAGTGCTTTGTTCATCTCCAAATCTTTTTCGAATCATTGCTACTTCATCCATGTTGGTTGTTGTTGGTGATGTGATGTTATGTCATTTTCATTAGGTGATATATTTTTATACATAAGAAAAAACACAATGTGGCATTGGAAGCTTAAAGGGGTGCATTTTTCTTTTATATTGGTTATTAGATTAGGTTTGCAAAATACTAGGACTCATTGTGTAAGCAAGGTATCGGACACAACATATGTCACAAGAATGTGGCAAGTGAAAAAGCTGCCAATTAGATTAATACCATTGGAATCTTATGTTAGAATTATTTGAATTAATAAATGCGCCCTTATTTTATATCTTTGATTGGTTTAAGTTATATTTGATAATTAAAAATTTCTTATATTAAATTATTTTTTATAGATTTAAAGAATTAAATCTATTATATTAAAATTTACAATTCAAAATAAATAGTGAATGATGTGAGAACTGCGCAAAAAATAAAACATTCTATTACATTTTGTTTTGTACGCAACATGCTTAATTTTTTCTACTTTGTAATTGTTTATAGAATTTTTTAATTTATTTAATTTTTTTTATATGGTATTTTATCATCTTTTTCAAGCCGGTCAGATGAGTATCAACCGACCATTATAAAGAACTACAATTCTTTCAAAATCTTTTCATTACATAAGAATATTTCTTCAGATAATTACAAAGAATTTCAACTGGATTCATATTCAACGATTATCCATAATTTATTCCTAACAAATAACGGGTTTGTGATTTTTCTCTATATATAGAGAATGTACAAATTCAAGTAATAAGTTTTAAACACAATTTCAACTCACTCTTCTTCCTCACATACTGTCTTGAGCATTGGAGTGCTAACCTTTCAGGTTCTCCTCTCCACCCCGCCAGAAGCTTAGATCCATAATTACTTTCGATATTCACTTAATTCTGGTTCCATAACGGAATAATGGTGTCATCTATGATAATCGATTTTTTTCTAGCTTTCTCCACGATTTCACACATGTTCTCCGATTCGCCAGTTCGTCACCTTCTCATATCACATAATCAAATGTCATCACAAATCGAACAAGAAGATTTATCGCGTTTGATCCAATTGTGCATTATTTCAACTTTGATTCCTCAATTTTTTAGATCTTTAGTTCTTACGATTCCACGTGATGGTCGAATCTCAAGCTACTCGTTCTGTTGCTGCTCGAGAAGTTGTTGTTGCTACTGCAGCTCAAGCAACATTCAATTAACCACCTCTACCTCCACATCTTCAACAAAAATGTTGCGAATCCAGAAATAGAAGTTATGTTACATCCATATCTAGTTCAAACTCTTCAGATAGCCGAGTCCATCCAATTGCCTACGATTAGACCTCAAATTATACCTCTAGTTGTACATCTTGAAGTTTTACCTAGTTTCCAATTACTGCGAGCAAACCTTGGAGTGCAACATGTTCGAATCGTAGTTAAATTGGGGGGGGGGGGGGGGTTGTTATCGTCTCCACAGGGATTGTTTGATATCTTGGTTCTTTCCTTTCAACAGTTTACAGTTCTAAGAAAAAAGGTTTAAAACTTTTGGTTCATAAATTGTCACTATTTTTAGTAACAAAATTGGTAAATTCTAAAGTGTTTGATTAACAAAATATATCAAAGTTAGTTTTCATCTACCTTAACTTATACGTATTCTTTCAATCTTGCATGTGAAGGCGGATCCGATTAATATCATCGCGTATTCTCTCAACACCGCCTATCTCTAGAGCAGCGTCGCGAGAAATATTGTATTCATCGCTACACGATCTCTCCATATAATAACCAATATAGTAAGCTTTAAGTTTAATACAAAGTGAATATCAACCATAGACCGATCTCTCCAATCTATAAATCAATAGATGAATATTTTAGGTCAAGTTCCATAAAATCTATGTCTAGAGTTTTACAAAACAAGAATGGGTCGTTGAGAACAAAAATATTCATCATATATTAATCATCACTTATTCACATACAAGGCCAATAAAAAAAATACATAAACCTAAGGTAGACTATTTTTACCTTTTATACAAAAGATATTAACTACCTATAACCATGGTAGCTACCTTTACAAGTAAAGAGAGAAAATGAATGGACATCCACGTCACATAATCGAACTCGGATGCGAATCCAACTTCTATTTACAAAATCTCCCTTTTTGGTGAAGAAATGCTGACAATATAAGTCTCTATGTGAAAAATGGGTTATTCTCCCCAAAAAGTGTGAAAGTACTTATATAGTACAACTAGAATCTGCCAAGTTTGCCTAGTGAACTCATTCTTCGTTGGACGAACTTCCCTTTATGGCACTTGAAGTGCCCCTGAATAGTTAAATCGCCCCTGAGGAAATATCTGAGCTCGCATAACAAGTTCGCACAACAAACGTATGACCCTTTAGTTACTGCCTCAAAACTGGGGTGGTTTGCTGGTCCTTCGCTGCAACCTCGCCTAGTGAACATATGATTTAAGTTTGCCCAATGAACTTAATGCTCTTTTCTTTCTACCTCTAAATTGAGAGGGTTCGCTGGGGCTTCGCCGACACTTCGTCCAACGAACATTTGCTACTGATCCTTGCTGGCTATTTGCCCAATGAACATGCTAAAACTTCACATTTTCTTTGGCTTCCTTGTCAAATTACCCGTGTCTTAATTCTTTGATAGATTATGCCTAAATCCTACAAAATAACACACAAATCGAAACAACCAAAGGTATTTGCACATAATTGAAGAATAACATGAAAACATGGAATAAATCCAATCAAAACATAACAAATGAGATGAAAAATTCCAAATATAATGGATCAAATTAAAGCATGTTTGGCATTCAACACAACACCCTAATGAGCTAATGAAAAAAATGTACAACATCATTCGGAAGTAGAATTTGCAAGCAATAGAGGAAAGTTCATTGCAGCTTAAAGAAAGTCTCCATTATACTCCTCCATAAGGAAACACTGTTCAGGAGGCTGTACCAAGAATAAATCATATCGTTGTCACCAAGCCAATCGCGACGAAGAAAGATGATGTTCCTAAATTAAGGAATCAACATCTGAGCGGGAAACAACATAGTCCTTCTCAAAGATCTGAGGGGAGACCGAGGTAACCACGCATCTTCCCCGGATCAAGCAGAAAACCAGACAATGAAGATGCATCAAAAGCATCTGTTGTGTACTAAGATTGTGGAAGAAAAGTACTGAAAATCATGGGGAAAACATAAAAGCTAGGTGCGTATCATGGAAAGGGAAATCTAGACGAGCACGTACAACCCATCAATGATCGGGTGAACTACTTTAGTTTTTACGAGCGTCCAAATAAAGATTGTTTGGTTTGGCCCTTTTTAGATTGGCTAGACTATGGTTAAATGGTTTGTATGATTGGAGCATCCAATCATGGACCGAATTCTGTGAATGATTCTTCGCACATTTTATTGCCCCAAAAAGACGGTTAGTGATCGAAGACGTCTTGAGCAGGATTATCCAAGGGAAAATGGAAAGCATGTAATCATACATATACTGATTTACGAAATTTATTATTGAAATCTTATGAGGCCTTAAGTGTTGGTTCATTGAAAATTGCCTTCTGAGGGATCATCCCTTCAGGTTGAAGATAGGAAGGAAGAAGGTAAAAACTACTCAAGAGATTTTGAGCATGGTCGAGTCTTATCTGATCCTATAAGAGAAACTTAACACACATTTTAACAACCTCACTTTCACTGAGACCAACTCCAACCGCCATAGAGGAAAGGAGTCCCACTGGTAGAAGGACAAGTCAAATCGAGACATGCATGGCTAGTATGATAAGTTCACTTTGTAGAATATCCCTAATACATTCATGGTGATTGCTTTGTTACTTGTCTTATTACTCTTATTTTGATATACTTTCGATTATTAAGTCTCCTTCATGATTGAACCTCTTTGGATCAAGTTTTGAAATGGTTCATTTTTAGCATGCATAAACCTTTGGTTAAGTTTGAACTTGATCATGATGTTTTTTGTTAAATTGCATGAATCAGTGGAATAAGATCCATATATGTTATTGATTCAAGTTAGGTAGAAATAAATATCTAAAAGTGTTTTGAAATTTATGAAAAATTGAGATTTTAAGTGTGTGACTCGAATCAAGAGCATATCCTGATTTGAATCAAATTAAACAGAGGCAAACTAAAACACTTTCAAGAACCCTGATTCAAATCAATGCATTTATAGGCCACCTCTAGTTGATTTGATTCGAATTAGACTTTACACCTAATTTGAATTAAAAAAATTCTCACATTTTTCAGCTAGCTCTGCTTAAATTAATTCGAATTAGAATTAACACTTGATTCAAATCACGAGGTCTTTGATTCAGATCAGAATTTTCTCTTGGTTTGAATCATCTAAAGAATGGGTCAAAACTCTATTTTTCTTTTATTCCACTTCACTTGATTTTTGACCCAAATCATGAATGGCTCTTGATTCAAATCTAACTAACTTTTTCAACCATATTTTATACTTAATCTCAAGCACATATAAAACCTTTTTGTTATCTCACTTCCAAAAACAAAATATTGTATGAATCTCATAATCAACATTTTTATTTTTTATGAAATCAACACCCTTTATTTTTTGAAAGTTTAAATCTATTGCAACAAACATATAACATCTTCAACTTCAGTTTGATTTCAGATCTTGATAACGAGAGATTAATAATTGATTGAAGGAGACAACGTCTTGAAATAAATTTTTCTTGAAGATTTGGTTGAGATATTCAGGTAGCTTGCAAGATTGACGTTGTTGTCATTGGTGCTGACAAATTCTAGTGAAAAGAAGAGGGTTCTTCTCTCCATATCTTCTTAGTAGCGACTTTGTGGAAAGTTACAGATAAAGCAGAGTTCTTCTCAAATCTTAGGACAATTTGTTGCTCAAGAAATCGGTAGATCAAAGGGTTGATTGTTACACATGAAGGCCTGGAGAAGATTGATGATATTGGAAGATTCAAGAAGCGTTAATCAAGTGAAGATTACACAGAAGGATTTGGCATTATGATGT